TGTTACCCCAGAATGTCCGTTAGAACGTGTATGAAAACAATCAAAAGTTGAAACCCAAACACGAATCCCTGTGGAACTCCTCGTGCAACACTGACGGGATCAGAAAGTGACCCAGAAACACGAAATGCCATGTTGCGTTGTTGAAGGGATTCTTCTATCCAACCCAGTACAAGTCCCCTAATTCCATAGTTGTGTAGTTTACTCAGCGGGATTTTGTGGTTCACTCGATCGAATACTTTGAAGAAGTCGGGGTGCACGACGTCCACTGCATCACCGTGGTCAGCTGCTTTTGTCCATTCTTCTCGTACCAGAAGAAGGTTAATGGTTCACGAACGCCTGCGGCGAAACCCATATTGCAGCAGGGCTAACACATTGTTTATTTCCAGGTGACTCATTACATTGTCTGCCACAATGAATTCCATGACTTTGGATAATACTGGGAGGACAGTAACGGGGCGGTAGTAAGGTGGGTCACTACGAAAACCACCGTCGTATATTGGAGAAATTATTCCTTGTTTCCATGTTTGTGGGAGCACAGTTTTGTCGAACATTTGTTCGAATAGTTCGCTTAATGGTTGAGCTAAGTCACTTGCCAAATATAGCTATATATTGCTACAGCTGAAAATTGTAGCTGCTTATTTCAGTCGTCTGGCAATGGGTTGGAGGCGCGCGGTGATAACACCTCAGTCTCATAATGCTGCGAGAGAAGTCCCGGAGAACTGCCGACTGGTTATTCTGAATTAAATGTCTAAAATTAAAAGAAAAACAGACCACGAAGTCATCTGGTGAATAATCCATTGCTGTGCAAACTAAATCATTTTCTTTCACAAGGATTCTGTGGTTTGAACCTTTGCCTAAACAGAGAAGAAGGATGTGTTGCTTGAGCCAACAAACTCGTCACAGACGTAGTTTTCTTGGACCTTGGCAAAAATGCTCTTAAAGCAGGGTCACTCTGGTCTTACTCGTTGCTCCAGGGAGTTGAGAAATTTATTAAGGGACGGAAGTTCGCGTCCAGGATCTGGCACGTAGTGCTCACTTAGTGGCCAGTTCATGGCCTCATCCTAAGCCCGATATCACTATTGTTGTACATGAACAGCCTGCTACGCAAATTTCGTTAATCATGACTCGTTTATACCACTGAACTGAAGTTACGAAAACCGCTTCACACCTTCAGTAAATTCGTGCATCCAAAAACTTAGATAGACTATCTAGCTGGTCAAACAATTGAGTGCTACTGGATTGAGCGATACATGGATAAATATTTTCACACNCACCAGCGCTACCCAGCCTTTGTGGTAGACAGATTTAGTGTTCTCCGGTTCAATATCATGCCTAACCAAGAGGGTCTTATATAATTCACTGATCCAACCGCGACTACTACAAAAGGAAGAGAAAAGCTCTTCTTAAGTTAAATCAACAGCATGCAATGACAAAAAGAGACCTGATTGCAGGACCTTGGTTTGAGGTGTTTCTCATCAGTGGTGTTGAACCTGGAAGATTAATACTTTGGTCAGTCTATCCATTCGGACCAAGAAATTTAGAGCAATTAAATTAATTAATAACAAAGAACGAGGAGAAACATGTAAGGAAGACCCAAATATTTCTGAACAGATTGAATAAATGAGTACTATACATCTGCAAAGAAGAAGGAAGTAAACATAAAAGGGGAGAAACGAATTTAGTGGAAGTGCGCTGTTGAATGTGCTTATTGATCGGCAGTCCCAAATGTGGCTTCATTCAAACTGAATAACCTCTGATCCGTACTCAAACATCTTACTCCATACTTGTGAAGTATACGCTTGAAGTCTGCTGTCGAATTAGTAGCAATTAATTCCTGAGGCAGCTCGTTTCAGTCGTTCAAAACTCGGACATGAAACAACACTGCTCTCCAGCTCGTTGTCACTCTGTGCTTATTAAGCTTCACAGTTAGAGCTCTCAGGTTCTATGCCTCAATGAGCTTGAGCAAAATACCCTTTGAGTAACAACATCCTCGCCCCTTAATACAGGAGAACTTGTGGTGTGGCTTTGTAAATCTTTTGTCCGAATTTCCAACCTAATTTCTCAATCTTTTTCATAACAAAAATATTCTTTAGATGATTTAAACGTTTTCCATAACGTTAACGAAACTTTTATATTAAATTCTATCAGATATTCATCATATAGGTGCAAAAAAGCTATCAGGGAGTAAATGCCTATGTTAGGGAACAACTGTATCAAACATTGTGGGTCACTTTAAAAGAAGTACTGTTTATTAATTGTTTTTAGAAGCAAATCACGCTTTATTAAGGGAGGTTATATAGCGTTAGTATCTAGGTGTTTGTTGTACCGTATGCATAATCTACCATTGTTCTGATTTAAGAGACTCTTTGTTATTCTTGGTGTGAATACCAAAAGCATAAAGGTTCATGCTACTAAATAACTATAACCCACCAGATCCATATTCTTAGTCTGAACAGTAGGGTTCCACTGTGGTAAAATGATAATCAACGAAACAGGCTGCACATGCTGACTCCGGTTAGTTTACTCACGATTTTTATGCCCCACACATATACAGAGCCAAGGCTGACGCTACGTATTTGTGGATCAGCATGTTGTACTTTGACATCGTTTTATTCTCATTGTTCATTTGAAATCCGGCACCGGAAACGTGAAATACAGTAGAAACAACCTGGACTAGTTAATGAATCAGACACAAAGCGTCACACAAGACGCAGTAGTTTACGGTGTGTAGCAGACATTATAAAAGGCATCGAAATAAATGAAAATCCACATGCTTGATAATTATTTAGCAATATTACAGAATCGGCAAACACAAAACATTACATGATAGCATTTGAGAATATGGTTTGACTAAATGGAGAATTTCGCCATGTACATGAAGTCAATGAAGCATGAGGTGAAAAGCCAGGTCAAAACAGCTTGTCCAATGCCGCCCTGGATTCTCCGTTCACGCTCCATTAACTCTATAAACAACGAAATTCNCTTAAAATGATTTGCCCAAAATTTGTAGTTTTTGTCTGTCGCTTACAACAGAAAAGCTCACCACGTTGTTGTCAATATAATAATTGTGCACACATCATTGGTGCAAATACTCAATGTGGGTATTTCGTTCAAAGTTTGAAGTTGGCAGGGATATAAGCTGCGCGTCTGAAAATCCGGACTGTTGATATGTGAAAACTGTTATGCTTTGACTAATTTTAATGCAATTTCAGTGAAGCAACACTTTGTCAGCCTTGGAAAACAAGGGTTATTTAAACATTCATTAGACATGAGCAGACTTCGATAAATAGAATTGCATTTCCGTAAATGACAGTCTACGTTCTGTAAAAATATTCTTCTGTACTAATCATAAAATTCCACGTTTTCTTTATACACGTGTATTCAGATGATATAGTAAGCTTGTGTCAAATATTCTTTTTCCTGCCAAACGCAAAACGCAGCTGTTAATTTTAGTGAAAACACGGTATTTTACACTAATATTATGATATGTTGACTGTTGCACAGAATCAAGTTTGTTGGAAAATCTAGCTTTACTGATAACAGAAGAAAACGTGATCTGAAGAAGGTAAAATATGGTTGTGTGAGAAATTATATTTATTGCAAATAATGATGATCTAATCGATGCGTTACAACTGGTTGTTAAAATAGAATCACGGCGTATAAAATACGAGGTTGAAAGGTAATACTCGTCAATGTTTGAAAACAGCGGCTCCAACTAAGGTCTGGTTAGCTTGAAATTGAGAATTAGATATTTCTATGAAAGAAGACTGGCAAATCCTTCGCTCAAAAGTAAGATCTTATCAGTTTCACGTGATGACAATGTGGAACAGGGTAGCAGTGAGGACACAAAACATTCGGGTCACGGAGACGGCATGGGAAGAAATGGTCCAATCCCTTTGGAGAATCATAAATTTGACCACGGGTAC